GCAATGCTTAACTTAACGGAATCCCCAAGTCTGATATAAAATATTCAACAAACCAATTCAATGAAAAGGACTGCTACCCAAGTATGGAATCAAAATAATAATAAGTAAAGTTGTTTTTGATCTCATTTGAAGTGTGAGGGGGAATAAGGGAGATTTGCGCTGTATTTTAGCGTATTATGGTTGATTAGTTACCGTGTTAAAAAGATGTTTTATAAATAAATAAATAAAACAAACCTCAATCTTGACAATTTCTTCTTTGGCCAACTCGGGTTCAGTGACACTTGGAACTTCGCTTTCCAAGACGACACTGACAGCAGACATGGTTTCCTTGACAGGATGAAGAACAACGTTGTACTGTTCAACTTTCTTCTCGACTTCACTTAGTTGTTGTTTACGTTCTTCAAGTGTTGCTCTCAACTTGTCATAACGGTCCACAATGTCGTTCACGTCGTTTGCAACTTCGCCAGCCTGGTCAGACTTGATGTAATTCTTGTTTGAGAGGTTTACAACGGCATCACGTTTATCACAAAGATGTTGTAGAACAGGACGGTGAGCGTTTACCTCATCCTCGAGTCGCTGTTGTGAAAGAAATTAGAAAATTTAATACAGTTGTGGGAAATACTGTTCTGGCCACATGGTGGTGACACAGTGATTAGTACAGGTGTGGTGCACATGTAGTGCACGTGTCATTCACACCTCTGTGGCGAGGAGACATGCAGTATGCAGTTTTCTGATTAGAATTTCACCTCATTCACTTGTGAAAAGAATGCTTCCAGTTTGACTCTACCAAATACCACAGGTTTGGTCCGGGTACTCCACTTTCCTCCTGTAGTAACTTCCGACCAGTAAGGGTGATCAATACTGGACCTCCAAGGGGAACAATTTAGAACTGATAGAGCTTTTCAGTAAAAATAAAGTTAGTTTAGTTTGGTTCCTTATTCATATTGCACTAGATATTTTCACTCACTTTCAGCTCGGCTCTTTGCTTCGTCAACTGTGCATGATCACAGCTCATGGTACCAAACGCCTGCATATCCCGCTCAGCGGTTGTCAGCCATGGTACAAATGACGTCACACTATCGTGATAGTCGCGTACAAGAGGCAACACTTCTTTCAACTTCTCTGCGCGGTCTGCAGTCTTTCTATGTATGCTCTTTCAGTATTGGTGATGTTAGTATTTTTCTGTTCGTGATATCTCTCTTGACACCAGTTCTTCGCCGTTAATGTAATCAAAGCTCGCGTTTTTCACGTGTCGTAGAGATGTTCAGCATTTTTCAAATTCATAACTTTAGATTACAGAGCATAGAACAGAACAAACGTAACTAAGTTTTAGAATTATCTACATGAGTGAAGAACTCTTAAGCCCGGGGCAAACTAGGAATTATTGTTGTGGAAACATTTGTGATTCTCGATGTTTCCTGAAATGTTTTCCTGTTTGCCCACCCGTGGAAACATTGTTGCGGAAACAAAATTTGCTTCCCGAGAAGCAAAAATGTTTCCTAGAAAATTCAGAAACATTTGATGTTTCCCTATGTTTCTCACTAATGTTTCCTAGTGTTTGCCCACTCTGGAAAACATGGCGAAACATTGGCAGGAAACAATGTTTCCGCAACAATGTTTCCTAGTTTGCCCAGGGCTTTACACATAACTGTAATGCTTAGTCACCTATTCTGTGCTTCTGTAAACTGGAACAATGGTAACTAATAATAATAATATTGATAATATTTAAAATACTGGTTCGTTTGAGGACTTGCTTACCTGTATCACTCGTTGTTGGGTGATTATCTCCGCATATCTCAACGACACAGGTTCTTGATTTCTCATCGTTTTATCAACTGAAACACACCACGCCATGAACTTGTCCATTGACAACTCATAACTCTGTTTCTTGTACAAAACAAGCTCTAACTGAGCGTTCTTTTCTGACAATTTCTCTTTGAGATTGTCCATTTCTTGTTCAACATTCTCAAGTTGTCTGTCAACCGCTGCATTCCTGTCTTCATTTTGGCCATAGTTCTCTTTCAACCATAAAGCATCTTCAGTCCCTTCATTCAGTTTCTTGTTCTTGTCTACCAATTGTTCTTTGATGGTCTTCAAGATACAAACATTAAAATAATAAGTCAACTGCTCACTAATGTGCGTGTAGTTTATGGACAGGTTTCACTGAGAACTACAGCGGATAGTAGTCAACGAGCAGTATTAATATTCTTTAACGTTCTTTTCATTTTAAGTAGTAGTCTTGCATTACTGATAATAAATAGATAATTGCTGCTATAAGTCTCCACCACAAACTACTGTGTGTGTAGAAAATTCGGTTTCAACGCATGTTAATTTAAAATACTCATGTCAAGTTACATCACCTCAGAGAATATTTTGTAAATTAACATGCATTGAGATCAGAATTTGCTGCAATTATGTTGCTGACATTACTTCATCATAAGTCTCACCTGGACTGTTTCTAATTTCGTTTCCACGATTGGTTCAGCACTAGCAACATCCACGTCATCAAGCTGGGCCGTTGCCACGGGCAACCATTCTTGAAGATCTTGCACTGACGTCACAAAGTCCTTGGTATGATCGTATACCTCTGCGAGCAGCGACTGCTGGTCTTGTAGCCTTGAATAGAGTTGGAAATATTGTCGCACAAGAGCAGAAGTTCTTTCCTGAAGTGGTTGGACATCGACTAGTTCTTCGTCAGTGATTTCAATCAGTTGTCGCTCGATGTTGAAGAGTTCTCGTAATGCAGGCTCTTGGTTTTCAAGTTCGGTTGCCATTTTCTGTCAAGGAAAAACCCAGCACTGAAAAATTGACCAAATACTCACCTACTGTATAGTTAAGCAAAGTACAACCACAGAATACAGACCTTACAGAAGGCCGACTCAGGCAAAAAATTGTAACCGCCGCCACGCCATGATTCGTCATCAAAATACACTCGCCATGTTCCTGGCCATACAAGAGGCATTCACCCCCCTGAACGTCCACCATTTTTAATATTTTCAGGGGGTGAATGCCTCTCGTAAGCGCACTGGCTAGGAACATGGCGGCAGCATTGCAACGCCAAAATCCGAGGCAAAAACAAGAAGTCGAGCTTCTGTAAGGTTTCATTCTGTGGTACAACTGCCAAGACCCTACCTTAACTTTCTGCCATTCATTGAGAGCGACTCTCTCATCCACTACAGCTGTTGTTTCAGTACTCAGTACTTTCTCAGCAGAACAAACTACATTTTTAATCTCTCCGTATTTCTCTTCGTATCTTTTCAACTCTCCCCGCACGCTTTCCACGTTATACGTGTCATTCGGGACCTTCACGCGTGTGTCCCGCCACGAGTCATTGCACTGAGCGAACTCGGCCTTGATCTTAGGTAGGTCACGTGTCACGTTGTTTTCCTCGCAAATTCGAACGAGATTTTGGTAGGCCTGAGCATAGTCTTCAAATAAATCAGTTCCAGTATCAACCTCGGTGCACAATCCCTAAAGATAGACAAACACTTATTTGATAAATCGTTCAGAATCAGACTTCCCCTTCATGTATAAGAACTAACCTTTACCTGGATAGCTCAATCAATTCTACACTGTTCTCCCCAGAAGTTCATTAATGGCTATACCTTATTGATTCAGCTAGAAACCTAAGTAATAACATGATCCTAACATAACATGACAATAACATTCAAATTAATGGTTTCTCGTGGTAACACTGGATCATGACCAGTCCCTCATGGTCCAGTGTTACTACAAGGGGAAACCGGAGTAGTTTGTTGGTAGAGTCACACTGGAGGCATAAAACGAACCTCGAAGTAATTCATTCGAGCACTCACCTGTAGAGTATCATGCTGCTTTCGTGCTTCGTTCTCATCAGCAGGTACAGGCTGTATGGCGTGTAGCTTCTGTTCCACTGTGATTTTATGTGCAACAAACTTTTCTTTAGTCGAGCTTTGTTTTTGTGCTGCAGGCAAGAGAGCAGAGATAGCATTCTCTCTCTTGCCTAGTTTCTCAGCCACAGCTGTCCAATAACGTTTGAGTTGAGATAATTTCTTTGGGATATTTGCATCGGGAGTGGCTTCACTTTCAGACGTCTGTTCCTCAGCCTTGTTCTCGATATACTCATGAATTGGTTTCAACTGCTGTAGTTTATTTTTGATCCCCTAAACAAAAGATAATCGTGTTTGTAATTCATACTGGTTTATACACGGCTTTCACTAAAGCACTATCGTTTAGCATGTGGTGGTCAACCGACTAACGTCCCGACGATGAGGCTTTGTTCGAAAAGTTTCGAAACGTCGAAGTTCTCCTTGAACTTTTCAGATAGTTGTATCCCTATCAATCCGAAGCTTTCCTATAAAACATTACCTGTAATTTATCATTCTGTTTCGAGACAACAGGATAAGCGGCAGACAGTTTCTTTTCCTTGGTTAATTTTCTATCAACATCAGCTAACCAGTTAGCAAAATCATCCAGGACGACATTGAAAGGTTTGCTGTCCAAAACGCTTAGTTGATATTGTTGTTTAAGATCGGCTAATTCACGGTCAACTTCATCAATGTCCTTATTAGCTGACTCCAAGTCGTCGCTAACTTCGGAAACGGTCGTAGGGTTGTCGGGACTGTGTTCAATAATCCATTGTCCAGCTTGTTCCGCTGTCTTGAACGTGTCGTGCAGTTTGCCCATTTCGTTAACCAGATCCTAAATTAAAACACAAGAAAATGTTTTTACTATACAAGATAGCAGAGAAAGTGACGAGAGATCATATATGGAGATATAACAAGAAATCACAGGATGGTTTGTCAAATGAAAAGGCAAATAGTGGCAATAAATTCTTCCACGACATCTTACCTCTATCTCTTGCAAAATTTCGTTAATCTTTTCAGGTTCCTCAGGTACTGGGTTTTCTTTAATCACAGCACTCTTCTCTTTAATCTCTCCCAACCATTGTCTAATTTGCTTGATCAACTCTTCAAAAGTTTCCACAGTTTTGATATGTCGTTGTAGTAATGATTCTTGTTTCACAAGTTTGTTTCTCGTTTTACGTTGAACGGACAAGGTGTCCAGAGTCTTTTCACGGATTGGTGCGTGTCTTGCCGACCTGACTAGTTTCTCTTCGGCACTGTCCACTGTGCTGATCAATTCCTGGAAAGAACAAAGAAAATATTGTATTCAATAATAAACTGCACTGTCTATTGCACTCTTGCCTCAATGGCCTCATTTTCATGTGGTTATTCCTCATGTTTCGCGCACAGTAGGGTTAAAGGATTAGTGTCACACCAGGAATTCGCGGGCTCAAACTCCTGCTGGCGGCCATTTTTCGGGACGAATAGATTAAATGATCTGGAAAGTTTTTACAATCCGCTATATATTTAAACCATCCTTTTATAATCCTTGCTGTTTTTGTCTGATTTTTATCAGAAATGAACCAAACAAGGTATTTTTATCGCTATTTGTTGTATTTGAGTAAAATGTAAACAATAACAAAAGACTGCAATGCATGACCCTGACACTAATCCTTTAAGGATAGGTTTGTGATTGGACTCAAGATCAAAGAGAAACATATTCACGCACGAAACATGGGATATAATCTTCATGTGAGCCGCCATGCTAAGACAGGCAAACGTGGAAACGAGACAATTGGGGGGAAATGCAATAAACAGTAAAAGTCTTTTCATGAAACATTTGGCCAATCATACTGCTCTATTTGGGTCACATGATAATATTTCTTACCCTGACTGTATCGAGTTGTTTCTGTGCTTCTTGCTTGTCCATTCCCACAGCCATCTGACTGACAAACACCTCGTCCGCTTTCGTCACTGTCTCTTGGAATGGCACCAGTGCATCTTGATAGTCGCGCAAACCTGATAACAAGATCAAGAACCCTTAACGGAGCTTACACACCTAAAAATCTCACAACTTGTCAACAAGATGTGTTCGCAACAGGCTTGCAGCAGCCTTTCAACAAGTTGTAGCAATGCTGTTATTTTATCAAGTTGCTACAAGGTTGTCACTCACAACTTGTTGACAAATTGTTGAATTGCAGGACGATAACAAGTTGTTGGAACAACTTGTAACAAGTCTGTTGAGCTCAACAACCTTGTAGCATAAAATTGCCAACAAACCGTTGACAACTTGTCAACAAGCTGGGAACAAGCAGTGCGAACACATCCTATCGACATGTTGTTCGAACAGCATTGCTATAAATCTGCTGCAAGTCGAAGCCAACCAATACGATATTGACGCAAAATAATAAAATACCTTGTTTATAGCTTGACAATTTCTTAGATTTCTCTTTCAACTCGTCATTCAAGTTCTCCCATCTTGTGTTCGTGATCTGAACGTCTTTTCTGATCTCAGGAATTTCTGTTGTCAACTTCAACTCTTTGCAAGCTTCCATGAGTGACTCGGCCACCTTGTTGTACAGTTTGTGTACAGGTTTATGTTTTCGTACGTCTTCGTGGAGGTCCTGAAGATAGAAGGAAATGTTTTAGACACGTTAAAGGCACATTAAAAACCTTATATGAACTGCAAAGCAATTTTGACATGCTGCCATTTATTCTGGTATTCAAAGCCAATGTTTGACACTCTGTTAGATTTCTGCAGTATGCAACTGCCTTTTTATATATTTGTCAAGATGAGAAGAGTATTTCCAGTTTCACTCGACCAAACGCTGCATGTGTTCACAAGGTATTCCGGTTTCCTCCTGTAGTAGGACACTGGACCAATAGTAAAGGCTCCAGTGACACGATACCGGATTCGCTTGTCAAAACATCAACATATGCCGTTCAAGAGTAATGTCTGCCCACAACATTTCCCCCTTTAACAGTTTTCGTTTTGCCATATTATCGCAATTTTAAGTGTTAAGATATTCCTGAAATCCTTAAATTCAATGTCGTAACAAACGAATCCGGTATCGTCCAAGGATGGATTTTTACTGAACTTCCAGGAAGAACAGTTTAGAACTGAAAGAGCTGCAATAAAGTTAGTTGCAATAAAGTTAGTTTAGGCTTTTTCGTGTACTAAGACTGAACCTCTATTGAGAACTGATATAACGTTTACAACTGATGAACCTAGCCAGCACAAATAAAGTTAGATTAGTAAAAGCATAGTTTAGAACTGACAAAACTGCATTAGAGTTAGTTCAACTTCAGGCTATTTCCTGGACCTCTATTGAGAATAGTTTACAAATGAGGAACACAACAATTAATCGGGGCGATTCAGCTTTAATTAAATGATATTTGAAAAATACGCTGTCAACGTCATCTGACTACATGGTCAACTGACAACATTTGTCATTAAGATTTGTCAAAACCTGAAATTGGCCCGATTAATCGTTGTGTGTAAAAGTAACTACTTTAGTAAAAGCATACCTTAATTTGTTCCAAATATTTAGGTAAACTGATCTGATCCACCGCGTCTGTTGGGACCTCCTTAATGGCAGATTCAGTATCAGTTAACCAGCGAAAAAATTCATGTTTCGTGTTTTCGTACTCGGCGCTCAGTGGCTCAACTCTGTTCAGTTGTCTCATACGGTTCTTTGCGTTCTTAGCCAAGATATCCCAGCGGCGTACAGCATCGTTAACGTTATCCTCAAGCGCATCACGTTTAGGGCTTGCCTCTGTCGTGCAGACGACATCCAATACCATCTCAACCACGTCATCGTACAGAGGTCTGTTGTTCGCAATGTCCTTAAGGAAGATCTGGAAAATATCGTGCAACTTTTCAATTCCAATTTTATTACACTTTAAATATAAATAACATATCACACATGTTTTCGCTTCTCTAGTTTAAATAAAAAATGTATTCATCTTACCTTTTGTTCGGCAACGAGAGCTTTCAGTTCTTCGCCTTTAGCAGTGAGGGGTTTCTGTCTAGAGACAAATTTCTCCTTCTCATCCAGCCAGAGACACAAATCCTCCAAAAGATCCTCGTAGTCATCAGCCTCCTGGATCACACTTAATTTATTCGTAGCTTGTCCGCTGCTCTGGCGAACGAGATCGTTATACATTTCACTGATGTCATTGAGTTTGGTCTTTAGATCAAGGACGTAGCGTTCATTGTCTCGGTTCACATTGAGGAGCCACAATCCAGTGGATTGAAGAGATTTCATCTGTGGATCGATCTCAGAGAGAGCGTTTCTTGCAGCCTGAAGTGAAAGAATAATCACATTGAGCACTTAAATTGCGCCAGATTATTGAAACAGAACTCTCACTGCTAGTCAGAAGAGGTAGCAAAGTGGTTCACTTATGTGGTCACTAACGTAAGGTCTGATGGAAATCTTGGGATACCATAAAATTATTTTCTATGACCCTGTTTACATTCATAAAAAATCGTATTCGCCCCGGTTGGGTCTAGCCAGAGAGGTCAAGATGGACGTTTACGACATATCGCTGACCGCAAACTTCAAATCGCAATTGAAGTAAGTTCGAAAGTTTCGAGAAGTTTTTAGCTTGTTCATGCTTTAATTTTAAAGGCACAGTTCAACCTTTTGAATGATGGGTTTTAAGGCGCATTACAACTCTTTTGATTGAAAAAACTAACTAGGAAAATCAATTAAGCATAATTCAAGATCAGTGATCTCAATGCTTTTAACATTTTTTAACATTTTTAATGTTAAAAAGAAAGATTCAGTTCACTGATTTTGAATTATGCTTAATTGATTTCCTAGTTTGTTTTTTCTATTAAAAGGGTTGTAATGCTCCTTAAAAACCATCATTCAAAAGGCTGAACTGAGCCTTTAATGCACAAATTGTCCTAACTTCGAACAGCTACCAGTTGGGCTCAAAATACGACCAGAATTTTGCCGTGATCTGTCGTAAACATCAATCTTATCTGGGCTAAATACACGATACCGGATTTGCTTGTCACAACATCGAATTAAACCGTTTCAAGAGTCACTTAACACTTCGCCTGCGTGGCAGGCCCTCAATTTTATGGGGGGCAATCCTGTCCGCTGCAAATCAGGCCCCCCATAAAATTGAGGGCCTGCCACGCAGGCTACTTAACACTTGAAATTGCGATTATATGTGAACTTCATCTGCCACATAAACTTTATATTAAAACTTGGTAAGTCACTGACCTTTAGTTGTTCATTGTAGTGTTTAATAATCCTCGGATCACTGGACCGTTTGCGTGTATTTCTGACAATCTTTGCAATCTTGATGAGATGTCTTTCCAAAGCTTGTAGGGTATCATAGAACTTCACAATATACTCCACTTCTTCGCGTGTCGCAATCAACATCTCGCGGGTTGCACGCAACAGAGTCTCGTAACGTTTCATGAGGAAAGTCGAGGTCTCGATGATCTGTTGTGTGGCGTCGGAATAATTGATTAACGTGTAGATCAATTCTTGGCTCGTGCTGTTCATCGCTGCAACGTCCTCGCGTTTGTTCTCAAGTAATTTTATCAAATTCTCCATTTGATGGATTTCCAGGCGACCTTTCTCCACGTTTGAGCCCAGCGGACGATGATCAACGAACGATTTCTGGACCTGGACATAAATTTAGAAAAAAGGTTAATTGGATGTCGGTTGTTCAGTATCTTGTCTTTGTGTATTTCACCATGGCTGTCAGATGTTGGGTTCCGAGGTTACCTACAAGTTACCGGGCTTGTGCGTGCTAGCATAGCCATTTTGTTTTGCAATATTTACCGACCAGAATTAATAGGTGTCTCTTAAACTGGGTCAGTCTTCAACTGTTACTCATTACCTGATCGGTGACGTCACGAACAGGTTTCACGGCGTTGTGGTATTTCTTGGCCAGCGGTATGATCACACTGAGTTCTCGAAGATTTGAACGAACTTTCATCTTCAGTTCCCGCCAAAGTGTCGCAACTTCAGTGTATTTCTTCTCCAGGCCACTGCGGTATGGTCCCGGTTTCTCCTTGTTGATGACGTCACGGCTCCACTTGATTGCGTCATCGTACAGTGGCTCGTGATTGGCTAATTCGTAACGCAGGTTCTTAAAGAGAACAAAACATTATCAACCATACTAGAAGTTATCACCGCCAGGAAAGTGCTGCCTCTTCCCAAGGCAGCATGCACAATTTGCTGAACAAGGGGCTGTTCATATTGTTGAAGTATTCTCTATAATATTCTGTTAACTGATAACGCTGGAACATAATTCCATAGATTCCACATATCTGTACGTTGTGAGGACTACGCAATAATAAACCAAATATGGTAACATTTTACACCTGAATTTAAAGCCTGAATTTTACACCTGAATTTTACACCTGAATTTAAAGCCTAAATTTAACATCTGAATTTTACACCTGAATTTAAAGCCTGAATTTTACACCTGCCTTGTGATGATTACTATACATCACTTATCTTTCAGACTCTTTTATATTGTACATACCTCGTAGAAATCACGTAATTGTAGCAAGACATCCATATTCTCTGACATTGGTTTCAAAGCTTTCATTGCTTTGTCATTCGCACGTAACCAGTGAAGCAGATCATCCAGAGTTTGTTCTGAAGTTTGACAGCTCGTTAATGCTTCGTGGAGTTTGTCTTTTCTGTCGCTGACTTTGCTATCGAGTTCCTTCAAACTGTCTTTCTTTGTGGCGACATTTGGCTCAATGACCGAAGCAATGTCTTCGGCACTAGAAAAACAACATGGTTCAAGTCTTGAATAAACTGTCCTACAAGCAGTACCACAATTGATATACATTCGTACTCTATCGACGTATGGTCTGCAAACTCAGAAATTATTTTAAGCTGACTTCGGCTGCGTTTCCACTATACTAGACAGCTTTCCGTAGCGGCGCGAAAAAAACACATATCCGATACGGAATGTACAACTCTCAGAAGCTGAGCGAAACAACATCTCTCTGTTGCAATAATTCCTCTGAAAATAGCGTTCTTAAAAGGTACGGATATGTGTTTTTTCATGTCGCTACGGAAACCTATCCAGTACAAGTGTATACGTAGCCTTGATCATACACAAATCTTTTACATTATCAAATATAAAGCTTACCTTGGTCCATCTTTTCTTGCGTTGCCAACAATCCAATGACCAGAGCTCTCAACAGCATGTAAAGATGGCCGAACAACATCATTGGTGACATCTTGCACAGCTTGTAACTCAGATAGTTCATCTTTTATCACGTGGATATCCTCCTCTATAGGAACACTAACATCCTTCACTGTACTTGGATCACGCAAATTACCCTGGAGTTCCTCGTTGTTCCTCGTGTATTTCTTAGCCTCGATCAGGTGTGCTCTCTTGTTTTCTTCAATGGAGTCTATCTTACGTAGAAGGTCGCTGACCTTAATTTTCACGGTCGTCAGTTGTTCTGTGATCGATGCCATGTCTGCGGTGGACTGGGGATGATGCGGGGAGTAGTTGTGTTCTTCAATCAAATTCCACCCACTGTCTTCAAATGATGTTTCGTTATCTTGGACTTCTTTTTTCAATTCCTTGAAAATAACAGAAGTAATTCTTTACTAATGCGGAAATTAAATGAATTTCCTTTATATATATTCTGGAAGCTCTATCATTTTATGTTCTGTCTCTCTAGAGGTCCAGTAAGGGTCATCCTTATTGATACAGTATTACTACAGGAGGGAACCTAAACTAAACTAACTTTATTTATACTGGATAGCTCTATCAGTTCTAAAGGATAAACAAGGGCCATTGCCTTGTATCCACTTTGCCATCTCTCACCAAACCTACCCGTAGTGTCTCAAGCTGCTCTCGAACTTTCTCAGGTTCTGCTCCAAGAACTTCCAGATCATCTACAGCCTTGTCTGCGTTCGTCATCACTTGAGCGAGTGACTGCAAAGCTTGCTGGTATTTCATGGCCAGAGGTTCCACGTTTGTGATCTTATTCCTGCGATCTTGTAGCAACGTATTGAGTTGATACCAAACTGTCTTGATGTCCGTCAACTCGTCCTCGATCTCTTTGGCCTCATCTCCGCTTATTTCTTTCACCGCCTTTTCACCAATGTCGAATATTTTGTTAAAGATGGGTTCGTATAGTTTGATATCAGCTTCGAGATCCTACGCCAAAAAATAATAAAAATACATTATAAACCATTGGCCAGGTCATTGATATTCCCCTGAAGAAAGAGGTAAGCCAAACGATTACTGGGTATTTAATGTGGTTAAACGTAGATTTAAGCGAAGTTAACGGCAGATGTATCTAGCAGCGGGGAGCCCCTGACGTCACTTAGAACAGTTGCAATTATCGCGCATCCGTCACTTTGCTACAGCTTGGCTAGCCAGCTACAACTGCTCTTTCGCTCTGTTCCCCTTCGCCCTTTCCCCACCCTGGTTAATGTTTGTTGATACTCGGGTTAATTTCTTTATTTTTGTTTTAGTTTTGTTTTTTGTTGTTTTGTTTTGGTTGTATCGGTTTTTTTTTTATTATTTGTTTTTCTTTATAGGATACAATCTATAGACTACTATAGAATGCGTCCTTTTTTCCACTGATCATCAGTGTGACAGGTGCCGGAGGTCTGCCTTAGCAGAATTGTCATGGCAAACTCCTATTGCTACTATAATTAGCCTTATTATTACGTTTTTTGCTGTTTTGCCATAGCTGTTTGCCATTGCTGTTTGCCAGTTTTGCCATTTGCCAGTTTGCCATAAATGTTTGCCAGTGTTTTGCCTAATGTTTGCCATTGCGGTCATTTGCCTGACAAGGCTAGATCGCCGACTAGCCTTGGCCACCAACGGCACCTACCTCCAAACTCGGATACTCTGCCGTTAAAGTATACAAAAGCCCTTGTGGTGTTGTGCTCACCACGCTTGCCTTCCAAGCTGGGAGAGCCGGGTTCAGTCCTTGCTCGGACCTCTACTCAAGGTCTTAAAATAATTGAGGAGAAAGAGCTACCTTTACATTGACATCAGTAAATGGTTAGACTTTCGCGTCTTCTGGGATAAGGACGTTAGATCGTAGGTACCTCGGATTCCCTATCAACTGCGCAAAAACCTGTTGGGAAATCCCCTCACCAATGAGTGAGAAACTCAATAAACTCAATACAGTACCTTCATTCCGCTGTCTTGTTCTTTCAAAATATCCATCTCTCCAGACACGGGTTTGAGAGTATCCAATTTCTTTCCGATTTCCATCATCCACTTCAAAACCTCTTCATAAAGAACGCTCAACTCTCCACTGTCGAAAATCTTCTGAGCAAGCAGAGAATTTCCGTGAATGACGCGGAGGTAAATTTCCCGGATGACGACGACAGAATACGTCTCGACCATAGAGGTGATGATCACACGACGGACGACACGATCATGTTGTTCAGCGGATGGCGCAATTAACATCATCTCAGGTCGTTCCTGAGTGGTCTCTGCAAGCTCAGCAACCGCTTGATCCATGACGCTCTCTAACGGGACATCTCTTTCAATTGTTGCTTTGGTGAAGTTTACAACTCTGTAGTCCTATAAAGACAGGGTCACAGAATAAAGACATACAGAAGTGTAACTTACATTACAAAACCGTAAAGCGCTTTTTACCGAAGAATTAGCTGGCGGCCACGTTCTTAGCAAGTGCCCTAAAGAGAGGCATTCACCTCCCCTGGAATATTAAATTTTCAATATGTTTTCAGGGGGGTGACTGCCGCTCTTTAGGGCACTTGCTAAGAACATGGCGGACTGAAAAAATCCCTTACGCGAAATTAACCTGAAGTGAGATCTCTGTATGTACTTGCTCTGTGACAGGGTACACTGTGGTAAATGGTCTGCGTAATGAGAGGGATTTAAACATTTGAAAACATACAACTAAAATTTCGACATTCCAAGCGAAGTCCTTCGTCGCAGTTTTGCTTGTATTTTTCAGGTAGTTGAATCCATCTCAATCGGCAGCTTTCTGGTGTTAAATTTCTTCCGATGCTATTGTCTGATAATCATTCACTTCACAAGAGCGCTATTAGTTTGACTCGATCAAACACCGTAGTTTTCGATTCCGATCAAAAAGGGATAGCCTGAACAGTTGAGAATTAACACAGCTACAGTGCAAACTTACAAATGACGAATTTGGAAGATAGACTATTCGACGTAGATAAAAATCAACAAAATGTGATTACGTACCTCTTGAAGGAAGCGTTCTTCAAATTGAACGGTGGTGACAGATGGAGCGCCTTCCACAGGTTCAATAGTCACAGGTATATCAATGACATTCTCATCCAACACTTTACTTAATTCTCTCAGTTCATCAATCGCAGGTTTGCTGGGCTCCTGTTCTTCACCAACCACGAATTCAATTGGAATATGTTCCACTGGTATGGTGTATTCTTCTGGTGCCTTGTGCTCAATCCGTTTTCCATCCACCATGATGTTTTCTGGTTCAATTGGTCTGCCATCAATAACGTAAACAGCCTCTTGTTTGGGCTCTCTGGTGACTGTCTTTACACCATTCCTGATGACAGTTCTGGTGACTATTGTCCTGACAATCACCACCCTCACCACTCTGCCTTGGTCATCTGTAAACTCTTCAACTGGTGTTCCTTGATCGAATGGTACATTTTCATCAAATGGTAAACTCTCAACTGGTGCTTGTTCCTCTGGTGTGACAAATTCTGATATGAATGGTACAATATCCTCTGGCTTCTTTGCTTCAACTTGTTTACCATCAACAGTAATGGTTTCTGGTTCCACTGGCTTACCATCAATGATATACACCACTTCTTCTTTTGGTTCTTTGGTCACAGTCTTTTCACCATTTCTGATGACAGTTCTGGTCACTATTGTTCTGACAATGATAATTTTAACCACCCTTCCTTGGTCATCTGTGAACTCTTCAACTGGTGTTCCTTGATCGAATGGTACATTTTCATCAAATGGTAAACTCTCCACTGGTGCTTGTTCCTCTGGTGCGACAAATTCTGATATGAATGGTACAATGTCCTCTGGCTTCTTTGCTTCAACTGGTTTACCATCAACAGTAATGGTTTCTGGTTCCACTGGCTTACCATCAATGATATACACCACTTCTTCTTTTGGTTCTTTGGTCACAGTCTTTTCACCATTTCTGATGACAGTTCTGGTCACTATTGTTCTGACAATGATAATTTTAACCACCCTTCCTTGGTCATCTGTGAACTCTTCAACAGAAGTCCCTTGATCGAATGGTACACTTTCATCAAATGGTAAACTCTCAACTGGCGCTTGTTCCTCTGGTGTGACAAACTCTGATATGAATGGTACAATGTCCTCTGGCTTCTTCGCTTCAACTGGTTTACCATCAACAGTAATGGTTTCTGGTTCCACTGGCTTACCATCAATGATATACACCACCTCTTCTTTCGGTTCCCTGGTCACAGTCTTTTCACCATTTCTGATGACAGTTCTGGTGACTATTGTTCTGACAATGATAATTTTAACCACCCTTCCTTGGTCATCTGTGAACTCTTCTACTGGTGTTCCTTGATCGAATGGTACATTTTCATCAAATGGTACACTCTCAACTGGTGCTTGTTCCTCTGGTGTGACAAATTCTGATATGAATGGTACAATGTCCTCTGGCTTCTTCGCTTCAACTGGTTTACCATCAACAGTGATGGTCTCTGGTTCCACTGGCTTACCATCAATGATATACAGCACTTCTTCTATTGGTTCTTTGGTCACAGTCTTTTCACCATTTCTGATGACAGTTCTGGTGACTATTGTTCTGACAATGATAATTTTAACCACCCTTCCTTGGTCATCTGTGAACTCTTCAACTGGTGTTCCTTGATCGAATGGTACATTTTCATCAAATGGTAAACTCTCCACTGGTGCTTGTTCCTCTGGTGCGACAAATTCTGATATGAATGGTACAATGTCCTCTGGCTTCTTTGCTTCAACTGGTTTACCATCAACAGTAATGGTTTCTGGTTCCACTGGCTTACCATCAATGATATACACCACTTCTTCATTTGGTTCTTTGGTTACAGTCTTTTCACCATTTCTGATGACAGTTCTGGTCACTATTGTTCTGACAATGATAATTTTAACCACCCTTCCTTGGTCATCTGTGAACTCTTCAACAGGTGTTCCTTGATCGAATGGGACATTTTCATCAAATGGTAGACTCTCAACTGGTACTTGTTCCTCTGGTGTGACAAATTCTGATATGAATGGTGCAATGTCCTCTGGCTTCTTTGCTTCAACAGGTTTACCGTCAACAGTAATGGTTTCTGGTTCCACTGGTCTACCATCAATGATATACACCACTTCTTCTTTTGGTTCTTTGGTTACAGTCTTTTCACCATTTCTGATGACAGTTCTGGTCACTATTGTTCTGACAATCACCACCCTCACCACTCTGCCTTGGTCATCTGTGAATTCTTCTACTGGTGTTCCTTGATCGAATGGGACATTTTCATCAAATGGTAGACTCTCAACTGGTGCTTGTTCTTCTGGTGTGACAAATTCGGATATGAATGGTACAATGTCCTCTGGCTTCTTCGCTTCAACTGGTTTACCATCAACAGTAATGGTTTCTGGTTCCACTGGCTTACCATCAATGATATACACCACTTCTTCTTTTGGTTCCCTGGTCACAGTCTTTTCACCATTTCTGATGACAGTTCTGGTCACTATTGTTCTGACAATGATAATTTTAACCACTCTGCCTTGGTCATCTGTGAATTCTTCTACTGGTGTTCCTTGATCGAATGGGACATTTTCATCAAATGGTAGACTTTCAACTGGTGCTTGTGCTTCTGGTGAGACAAATTCTGATATGAATGGTACAATGTCCTCTGGCTTCTTTGCTTCAACTGGTTTACCATCAACAGTAATGGTTTCTGGTTCCACTGGTCTACCATCAATGATATACACCACTTCTTCTTTTGGTTCTCTGGTTACAGTCTTTTCACCATTTCTGATGACAGTTCTGGTCACTATTGTTCTGACAATCACCACCCTCACCACTCTGCCTTGGTCATCTGTGAATTCTTCTACTGGTGTTCCTTGATCGAATGGTACAATTTCATCAAATGGTAAACTCTCAATTGGTGCTTGTTCCTCTGGTGTGACAAATTCTGATATGAATGGTACAATGTCCTCTGGCTTCTTTGCTTCAACCGGTTTACCATCAACAGTAATGGTTTCTGGTTCCACTGGTCTACCATCAATGATATACACCACTTCTTCTTTTGGTTCTCTGGTTACAGTCTTTTCACCATTTCTGATGACAGTTCTGGTCACTATTGTTCTGACAATCACCACCCTCACCACTCTGCCTTGGTCATCTGTG